GATCTTTCTCAGAAGCTGCTACAAGTCTGAACCTCATGTCCCTGCCCTCTTCGTGTGCTTTTCCAAGTCTTCCTATTCCACTCAGGGATGTAGGGTCATAGTTGCCCTTCCTGTTTTTGTCAAAAATAAATTGTCTAAAAATTATTTTATTAAAAAGTTCACAAAGTATTCAATTGACTGTTCTTTCACTTGAGAACTAAAGTTTTGAGTAGAGAAGATTTGAACCAGAGATCTCTGCAGTTTACAAATTTAGGAAGGATATATATGTGGAGAACCTGCAACAGCCTGTTACCCGGCCATGTAACATATTTGAGGACATCTGTAAATGTGATTTCAGCAATGTGCATTTTTTCTCCTATTGCACAATTGGGTTATTTCAGCTAATCATCTATTGATGGTCATGGAGTTTTTCCAGCAAGTTCCAGAGAAAGGTACAGTCTAACTTCGCCTGCATCTAGGACACCACTCTCTTCTTGTTTTTCTTCTTCTATTAGTCCTTTCAAGTCTTTTTTGTTGGTTTTTCTTCTACCTATAGATAGTGGTTTGCCACACACTCACGCTGTATTTTTTTTTTTTTTTTTTTGAGACAGTGGCTTGCTCTGTTGTCTAGGCTGAAATACAGTGGTGACACCATGACTCACTAAAGCCTCGAACTCCTGGGCTTAAGTGATCCTCCAACACCAGCCTCTCTAGTAGCTAGGAATAAAGGCACCACTACACCTAGCTAATATTTTTTTTTAATTGTAGGAATGGGGTCTTATAACCTTTATTTCTTCAAAGGTTACTGAACTGCTGCCTAAGCCTATGCACTTTGTTTTTAAAAAGGCCTCTGCTTGGCCTTGGAGGCAACACAACATATCTACAACCATCCAATCTTTGACAAACCTGAAGAAAGCAAGCAATGGGGGAAGGATTCCCTGTTTAATAAATGGTGTTGGGAAAACTGGCTAGCCATGTGCAGAAGGCAGAAACTGGACCCCTTCCTGATGCCTTACACTAAAATTAACTCCAGAAGGATTAAAGACTTAAACATAAGCCTGAACACCATAAATACCCTAGAAGATAATCTAGGCAAAACCATTCAGGACATAGGTGTAGGCAAGGACTTCATGACCAAAACACCAAAAGCATTGGCAACAAAAGTCAAAATAGACAAATGGGACCTAATCAAACTCCACAGCTTCTGCACAGCAAAAGAAACAGTCATTAGAGTGAATTGGCAACCAACAGAATGGGAAAAAATTTTTGCAGTCTACCCATCTGACAAAGGGCTGATATCCAGAATTTACAAAGAGCCAAAACAGATTTACAAGAAAAAAACAAACAAGCCCATTCAAAAGTGGGTGAAGGATATGAACAGACACTTTACAAAAGAAGACATACATGAGGCCAACAAACATATGAAAAAATGCTCATCATCCCTGGTCATTAGAGAAATGCAAATCAAAACTACATTGAGATACCATCTCACACAAGTTAGAATGGTGATCATTAAAAAATCTGGAGACAACAGATGCTGGAGAGGATGTGGAGAAATAGGAACACTTTTACACTGTTGGTGGGAGTGTAAATTAGTTCAACCATTGTGGAAGACAGTGTGGCAATTCCTTAAGGACCTAGAAATAGAAATTCCATTTGACCCGGCAATTCCAAAACTGGGCATATATCCAAAGGATTATAAATCATTTTACTATAAGGACACATGCACAAGAATGTTCATTGCAGCACTGTTTAAAATAGCAAAGACATGGAACCAACCCAAATGCCCATTGATGATAGACTGGATGGGGAAAATGTGGTACATATACACCATGGAATATTATGCAGCCATCAAAAATGATGAGTTCATGTCCTTTGTAGGGACATGGATGAACCTGGAAACCATCATTCTCAGCAAACTGACACAAGAGCAGAAAATCAAACACTGCATGTTCTCACTCATAGGCGGGTGTTGAACAATGAGATCACATGGACACAGGGAGGAGAGCAGTACACACTGGGGTCTGTTGGGTGGAAATGGGGGAGGGACAGGGGGTGGGGAGGTGGGGAGAGATAGCATGGGGAGAAATGCCAGATATAGGTGAAGGGGAGGAAGGCAGCAAAACACACTGCCATGTGTGTACCTATGCAACACTCTTGCATGTTCCTCACATGTACCCCAAAACGTAAAATGCAATAAAAAAAAAAAGGCCTCTGCTTGATACTTAGAGCGGTTTAGTGGTGTCTAGTATCATCCTGTATCTTAAAATATCATGGGTTTGGCATAAAAACTGATGAGAGAAGATTAAATTTTTTAACTTAAAGAAACAACACTAATTTGTAAGGATGAGAAATACAGTGCCTTTCTTTTTTTTTTTTTTTTTTTTTCTGTAATTGGGTTCTAGTCACATCAAGTGGACATAAATTGAAAGTAAATGAGCTAAGAAAAAACTAGATTCAAATTAGGGGCAACTTTGCTTTTTGGGGTTCTGTACAGATTTGTCATACAGATCAGCCCACTAAGTGTACAGATGAGCCCACCGTACGGATCAACCCACTAAGGCTACACTATGTACCACCCCACCCTCTAAAGCCACACTTGCAAAAGCTTTAATTTAAAAATTCTCATTTTATAATGGTTTGATATTTTTTAAAGCGCACATTTAGAAAACTATGTATCCCTCAAATATAAAATTTGCCTACTAAAGTTTCATAAAACATCAAAACTCAATTCATAAACTAGAACAAAGGAATGAACATTTCGAAATGCTTTTGAAGAGTTTTGGTAGTTTGATAACATGACAGTTTTAAAGCAAGATCCTTTTCTCTTTATTTTTTCAAATCACAAAATTCACTGATACAAGTTGTGAAATTTTAAATACTTTAAAGGTGTGATCTACTAATCATTTGAACATATTGCTGTCAGTGGCATAGATGTTTTCATGAAGTTGAACATAGACTAATAAGCAGAAATTAGCTCTATTATAATCCCCAAAGTCTGAATTTATTGAAAGTAAGGTTTGTTAAAGAAAATTTTGTTCTAATGAAAACTCTATATGAGTTTATTAAAAGGCAATAACCATATTAACCTAACTTGTGACCTATGTTTTCTATAAAACTGTCCAACACAAGCATTAATTGCACTTTTTTGAGCTCAATGGCATTTCCTACAGTAATAGTAGTTAAAATACATTAAACTATTTAAACCATCTTTAAGAAACATGTACATTTTATCCCACCAACAGCATAAAGTCTCTTTCTTAAAATCTTTGAGCTTGTTTTGAAGTGCTGTAATTTCTGACAACACTTAGGGTACAATAATTTGTATTAATGCTAATTGTGGATTAGGAAACATATGGGAAATAATAAAAATTAAAACAATATAATACTCATAAAATATATGAAGCCTCCAATATAAAACAAAATGATACACACTCAAAAAAACCCTTTTGTTTATTAGTTAAGATATGATGAAGATATAATGAAAGGTTTTACTTGATTTTATGTAACTTGATATAAAGGAGTTCAACTTATATCTTGGAAGACATTTTGAAAATGGGAAATTAGAAATGCACTAATCAAACACAATCAGAATCTTTAAACCCCTAAATTCTCCCATTCACTATAATATCTAGCATAGTAACAAATGACAGCATAATCCTTGCAAAATGCTTTAAAATTTAATTTTGAAGATACATGTTATAACAAGAAGTCAAGTCTAATGTTAATACAAAATATTCTCTTCAGTATCCCAATATTTTAAAAGTACAAGATTTTATATTAATCATGTTAAATTTCTTGTTGACAATATACGCAAATCTAGCACCGGCTTTTTAAGACAATAACAATTTATGTGTAGACTCTTGCTATAGAGGTAGCTATTAAAATGACACAGGACAGAATTCTAAAATTGCTACCACATTTTACCCCATATGCAATAAACGTTCTCCAGAAACTCTATGGTGTTCTAAGGCTGAACCAGTTATCTCCCAGAGCTGAGTAGCAATAAGATAGCATGTATTATTATGAGTGTCATGGAGATCCTGTAAAAATCAAGAGTCACAGGTAGTCAGCAGCAATGGGTATTGACCAGAGACAATCAACATGGCTCGAGGTTTTCTCAGCACTGTACACAGCCGCAGGGCAAAATAATAAGCCAGGGAAGGACACTGCCAAGCTCCAGTTTCCACAGCACACTATGGCTGCTCTAGGAAAAACACCCCCACAATGAAAATAAAGCAAACTGGTTGTGCATCTGGCACCCAACTCACCTTTTAATGTAATCACAAATTCTCCCTCAAAGAGGCTTTCAAAAAAAACATCCAAACACTATTCAATATAAAGTTGACCTGGAAAGGAAACCACAGGAAAGTTTTATTTTTAAAATGCTGCATAAGGCCAAGTGCGGTGACTCCAGCCTGTAATACCCACACTTTTGAGTCAAGGATATCACTTGAGGTCAGAAGATTAAGACCAGCCTGGTTAACATGGTGAAAATCCGTCTCTACTAAAAGTACAAAAAAATTAGCAAGGTGTGGTAATGGGAGCCTGTAATCCTAGCTACTTAGGAGGCTGAGTCAAGAAAATCATTTGAACCCTGGATGTGGAGGTTGCAATGAGCCGAGATTGTGCCACTGCACTCAGCCTGGGTGATAGAGTGAGACACAGTCTCAAAAAATTAAATGAATAAAAATAAAGTAAAATAAAATAAAAAAATTTGGCTAATAGAAATTTTAAAATTCACATTTGCCTCACATTTTATATCAGAGGATTGCTTCCTTTTTGAAATCTTAAACTGCCTGCTCAAAGGACCAGAAGTCAGGAAGTTTATAAAATCTGGAATTGTTAAATAATTGTTATTAGATTCTTTCCATTTGTGAATAGTTATATAATATGTTATTTAAAAATGCATATTACCTTATACACAAGGTTAAATGCAAATACCCTCCTGGTTGGTCCTGGCTCAGCTCAGGGAGGAAGCTCTGCCTGAAAAAGTTGTGGCCCAGGCTGTCACTCTTTTTTTTTTTTTGAGACAGAGTTTCGCTCTTGTTGCCCAGGCTGGAGTGCAATGGCGCGATCTCGGCTCACCGCAACCTCCGCCTCCTGGGTTCAGGCAATTCTCCTGCCTCAGCCTCCTGAGTAGCTGGGATTACAGGCATGCGCCACCATGCCCAGCTGATTTTTTGTATTTTTAGTAGAGACGGGGTTTCACCATGTTGACCAGAAGGTCTCGATCTCTTGACCTTGTGATCCACCCGCCTCGGCCTCCCAAAGTGCTGGGATTACAGGCATGAGCCACCGCGCCCGGCCCACTCTTTTTTCATTTAGCCCAGTGTCTGGTCAAATCTTCTGTCACTCAGGGAATAAAGGGGCGGAACTAAAGGGGCGGGCCTTAAGCGTTAGAGAGTCTAGGAACGGTCCAATGAGGCACGCAGCTGGAAAGCAGACAGGCCGGCTTCCGGGATTTGGAGGGTTCTTTGTCTCTTCCTGCAGTCAGAGTTCGGGTTCTCGTCTTCGCTGCCTCTGTGTCCTCTGCTGCTCCGTGTCCTCCGCTCCTGGAGGTGTGGTCCTGTGACCTTCAGGTATTGAGGATCCACAGCTGAGACGCCAGCAGCCGCTGGAAACCTCTAAATGGTGAGAGTGCGGGTTCCGACATCTAGAGAGTGGAAAGGGGCTGGTTAAAAGCGGTGAGAAGTGGCTGTAGCGGGACTCAGGCCCCCAGCAGTCAGCTCCAAAATCTGAGGCCTAGTTCACCATGGCGCAGATCGGCCTTCAGTCTCCTTGCGCCTTAAGATGGCGGCTGGGCGGAGAGGCGGGACCGCGGGCGTCCTGTCTCTCTCTTGCCTACACAGTGGCCTGGAGCCCGCTTTGGGCAGCTCAGCACCCACGGCGCCGCATCTCTCCTCGATTGTGCAGGGACCACGGGAGGGTCGTCATGGGAGAATCCTGACTCGGGGTGCGAGGTTCATAAATCAAAAGCGCTTTTGGTCCCACTTTAACGAAAAATTTATTGGAGTCACCGCAAAAATATCAAATAATTTATTTAAACAGTGGTTCAAAAATTGTAGAGCGCCCAGCTATGATTTGTAGTTTGTGGTTCATGGGAGGGAGTTTAAGAGAAGATTTTTATAAGGTGCATGATTAAGAAAAACCTACATTCATTAATTGGTTAATACAGTTAGGTAGTTTCTTAATGTTATTCACGTCCAATAGTACCGAAAATTAAGTGCATTTAATAAAGGGATCTTTCAAACAGACTTTCTGTGGGCAACAAGGCCGTTTTATTTCTCTCTTGGGTGCAAGCAGGCCGAATCCAAGAAAGGAAAAGGCGAAGGGGGTAAGGTGGTAATTGGCTTTATAGGTTGGGGTAGATTTTTGGGGGGCGGGGTGTTACAGAGTAAGATCACAAGTTCAGTTACAATGGCAGTGTTGGGTGAGAGGTATTTACATTACCATAGGAACAGTTAGGATGGCAGGGTTGGTTGAGGGGCTAGCTGGGGAAGCTCAGATGGGCGATTAGTGAGGATGGCGAACTCTGGCAGTGGGTGGGAGACTTCAGCCAGAGCAGGCAGGACTTCAGACTTTCGGGCTCCAGGCTTGCATATGAGACCTGACATTCAGGTTCCAGGCTTGCATATGGAGACCAGACACTTAATTTCCACTTGAGCGTCCATATTTCCTGGTTATGCAATCAGAGGTTAATTGACGGTTTATAGTTGGTAAGTCTGAATTTTTTTCCCCCAATGTAGCAATTCACCAAAAAAAAAAAAAAAAAAATTAGAGTTAAATTTTTTTTTTTTTAAGTGAAAAAATCCAGACTAGAGCGACGTCAGTCTCATTGACTGCCACTTAATTATTTTCACACACCACTGGGGAATGATTTT